TTAGTAAAGTGTAAGTCTTGTTAAATGTAGCACAACTTAACTTTTGGGTAAAATTATTTAGGTTACTCTACATTGATTTTTTAAATGAAATTGTGAATATTAATAAGAAGCTAACCCACTAGACTGATTTAGGATTTGCCTATTGATCAACTAGGAATTTTTTTTCCCCCTTTTGTATTTATACATAGAACTAAAGACATTTAAATTACAATTAAATAAAAAAAGATTGCAGTAGATTGAAGATTTGCTATTCATATTCAAAGAGAGTGGAAAAAATGATGCTCTCATTATGTGGAATTATCATTATTCTAGTATCAGTGTCAAAGAAGACATTTTGTTAGTGCGTTCTCTGAATGTTGCAAAGTTGCTTCCGTTAATAACAGTGTCAAAGTTTCTCCAGGGAATCACTAGAAATACCATCTAGAGACACTGCAGTCAGATTTGCAAACAATGAAGGAAGCAAACTGAATGCATCCTTATTCATAGTAAGTCATTATTGACAGTGTAGTTGCTAATTGTTATTTAATTTATCTATTGATTATATAAATGAGCTTATTAATATATTACAGTAGAATATGCAAGTGCACAGATTTATGTATTAATTCAACTGTTCAATTAAACCAGAAAAAAATGCAGTCTATCATGCGGTATATATTCAATTTCATGCACTTTTAAGATTTGCCATATACATATGTGTTATGCATATAAACTAAGAAATGATGAGCTTTGAGTCAGGTATTGTTGTGACCCAGGTGCCCCTTCCCATGAAGGCAATCACTCCAGCAATTGCTAAACGAGTCTTTATTCCAAACGGCTACAAATTATTCACAACACCGAAAATACACTCAAGGTAGAAAGTTGACCTCTTGCTCTAGCATCACCCCACACATTGCTTATGAGCTCTTCAGGGCCTATCTCTAGGGGGTGGTGCATTTTGGATGCATGCTTGCCACCTCTCCTCGAATCATGTCTCCAATTGCCCCAGCTGATGCTTGCGCCTGCGCGATTGAGCATCCCTATGAATCTCAGGAGCCTCCCTAGCCTGCTCATTATCAGCTTTGTTCTCGCAATTAAGAATAGTATCAGGCCCCATGTCTGTCCTTGAAGTGTTTTAATCCTGTACTGTCTCAGCCTGCCCCACTGGGGGTAGGTCGCCACCTGGTGTTCCGCTAGCCATAACATCTGGAGTATCAGGGTGAAAGCTCTGCACTGTTGCTGGAATAATAATTAACTCCTCTTCTTCTAATCTTGAGCTATGGTTCTCACCAGAGTCTTCACTCTCTTGTGCACATGTAGGAATCTCATCCAAGCACATGAGCATGACAGGTATAGACATGGCACAAGAATAGAGCAAGTGCTCTGAATGCTGAAAGTCCTACATTTGATCCATGGGTCTCCCATCTAAAATTATATCAGGTTGCTTAGGAAGGATATGGATAAAAAGCACTCAGTATGGATAAAATTGTAACATACCAGTTTGAAAGTGTTTTCCACTCACAAATAAAAGCTAATTAACATATCCAAATCTGCCCAATTTGAAGTACAGGAATACCCTCAAATTTGTCTTTCAAAGTAGCAGACTTGTGTCAATCTGCAGGTAAGTGTAGTTTCTCAATTTTTATTTTTCAGTTTTGTAGCATCCCAGATATCCTTGCTCATATTACACAGCCTGTTTGTTAGAACCCAATGCTAAGTCATTTGCAGACAACCTGGTTCTGAGTCAGCATTTCATACACAGAAGCCCTTGCTCCAATCTATTGCAAGTCAGACCTTCAAGCATTGCTGGAAGGAGCTGCCTCTCACCCACAGTGGGCTGCTTGTTTGTGGAGAAGCTGGTGCTAAATCATCTGTCTGTTATTGCCATAGTACCAAGGTTGTGAAAACCTAGACCCCTGAAATTTGGCACGCATATTATGGGGATTTTAGGGGTGTGGAGTTCAGGGTTGTTTGTTTGGTTTTTTAAGCATTATTAATTTTAGTTCAGTTAAACACATCTGTGTTTTTGATGTCTGCCATGGCATCTTCATTTTCTACTTGGAAAATGTCCCTAACCAACACAGCTTGTACTCTCCATTCTCCCGAGCTAAGAGGAAGAAAAGGGCATATAACTCTCTATCTTGACCTACTAATCATTCCTAGATTCAAACTGTAACAACTGCAAATCTATGTGCAGATGCAAACTAGTGACTAAAAAGTAACTTCAGGTTTTAAACAAATACACTTACATTAATTATCATTATTAATGTACTAAAAAACTGTAATAGCCATGAGATGCATATCTCTCAGATCTCTTAGTATATTTGCAAAGTTTCAGGTATTTGGATTTAAGAAGATTTGGCAGTATAACACTGACACGCAACACCCCCTCTGTTATTATAGATAGTATGATTATTATATATGATAAATTTAGTATCATGTTCCTGGACCTTTAAATTCTTTAGACCTTTACAATCAATTTCTATTCACTGAGACATTGCAAAATTGAAAATAAACGTTAAGGAGAAAATGCGCTTACCTGCAGATTAGCAAAGCCACCATTTTTAAATGCAAATTTGAACATGCTCCCATGCCTCAATTTGTGGTATGTTAATCAGCTATTATTTCTGAGTAGAAAACACTTTCAAATGCCTCTGTTACAATAGTGCCCATGTGAAACTTCCTAGACTAAGGATGGTTAAAAAAAAAGAGTCAATGCTGGAGACCAAAACTATAGACAGTACCAAGCTAGCTTTATGTATTAATTCAAAAGGTCTCTGAAACGATTCAAAAATAGCACTTCAACTGGTTAGGGTTATTTTAAAATTCAATTGGTTAGGGTTATTTTAAAATATTACTCTCTCCTTTCTTCTGAAAAAGAATTCGTCCTCCATCAGCTTCACTGGCTTCCCATTGAAGCCCGGGCCCAATTCAAGGTGTTGATTATGACCTATAAAGCCCTAAACGGCTTGGGTCCTGGCTACCTGAACGAGCGCTTACGTCCATATATGCCCGACCGCCCTTTGAGATCTGCGGGAGAGTCCCTTCTCCGGGAACCCTCCATGAAAGAAATTAGGAGAGTAAGTACCCGGAGGAGGGCTTTCTCTGTGGTGGTGCCCAACCTATGGAATTCACTCCCCAAAGAGGTCCGCCTGGCACCGTCGTTACTGGTTTTTCGGCGCCAGGTAAAGACCTTTTTATTTAAACATCATTTCAATTGTTAAAACATATGATCTGGCCTGGGCAACTTCTTCTTCCTTCTCTTTCTCCTCCTATATTTTTATTTTATACTGATAATTTTAATTTTGTATTTGTAAATCAATGTATTTTTTGTATTTTTATATTTAATGGTAATTTATTATGTACTATGGTATTTCACTGTATTTTATCATGTTGTAAGCCGCCCCGAGGTTTCGGCAAGGGGCGGCATAGAAATGTTATAATAATAATAATAATAATAATAATAATAATAATTCTGAGAGCCCAGGAAAAAAAGGAGGCAGAAGCAGAATGTTCCTCAGACTTTTAAACTAATAGATACTTAAGCATCATGGGCTTGTTAAGAAAACAGAAAAGACTAATGTTATGCTGGTGAGACTGGGAAAAAAAGAAGAAATGCAAGCTCCATGGCATAGGAGGGCCTAGGAAAAGTAGCAAGAGAAGCAGGAGAAGTCTTGACAAGGTAAAAGGGCAGGAAACAAATAGGGCTGTTTGGGGAAGAGAGACTGGCAGTAGTAGAGACTAGCTATAATATTCGACAGCAGCACATGTAAGTTATGGTCAATGACCATGTAATAAACAAGCATACACATTCTGTTTGCAAAATCTGTACCAACAACAAGGTAGAGTCTTGTTTCTATAAGATACATTTTAGTGTGGTGAATATGATACATAGAAAAGTCAGACAATGACAATGAGCTGTGATATGGAAAACAGAAAAAAACAGTTTTCCCATTTGTTGGAAAAACTGACTTAACTTCCCTACCCCCACTTATTTAATTGCACTATTGATAAATGTGGACAGGTGTAAATTTAAATATGAAACAAGTCCAGATCCTTAGTATAATAATGAGATATATCTCTTCAGACATATTTCTTGACAAGGCCTTAATACAAAAACGTAAAACTGAAAAGGGTACCCTTTACTGCCAATGCTCTTTTTACTATGATAGCTTTTCCCCAAAATGGAATCAGCAATTATTATTTTACTATGATAGCTTTTCCCAAAAATCGAATCAAGCAAGTAGCATCTGCTAGCTCTGGTTGGGCACCAGAGAAGTTGCTGTACTAACCTGAACACTAATCATACATACTTTTGAATTCATTCTCATTTCCTAAAAACATTTGAGGTTTGAATACAAGTCACTTGTATCTTGTATTTAAATAAAGAATCACAAGGTGCTGCTTTAGTTTCTGGTGCATACAAGCAAAGGGTGCAGCGTACACTAAAACACATGTTTCTAGAATACAAGACAAAGAGACTAGAGATTTTACATTCCCTTGCAGACATATGTCTAATTTTCAGTGAAAATTACAAAATCATTCACCTTCACTAACATTCTGGTGAAGGTGAATGGAAGCAAGCAACCATTCCTGTTGATGAAATACTAAAAAGGCGGCTTGGAAAATAAGTAGATGAATTAAAATTATAAAAACAAAACATAATTGCACTTAAATTTACTGATGGAAAGGTAGAGCTTTTTGGCCATCTGGGCAACAGGGCAGTACCACAAAAAGACACTCACTAGCTCTTTGTTCATCCTGATACACCTCACATACTCCAGACACATAGCATGTCTACTAATCAAAAAGGCCAATCAGGGCCATGTGAGGCTTATAACCTGATATTCCGGACATAAATTATGGGTTACAAATGGGAAATAATTTGATCTCAACATTTATATCCAACTTTTTCCTGTCTGTGGAAAGACCAAAGAGACAGAGAACCACCATACACAGAACACTAATCTTGTAGCCATGTTGTTTTCTAGTTTAACCATCAAAGAGAAGGAATGACAATTTACCTGTTCCAGTAGCTCCAGAACTGGTCATGCAGGTAAGCTTGATGACTGCATTCATCACCAAAAGAAGCTTTACTTTCAATCCAATGAATGATATGCCCTTCTACAGCTAAAGGAGGAAAAAATGGAAAATGAATTTAAGTTCTCTCAAATTCTTACAACCACAGGAGATTAAGAAATCCTAAAATTCTTAATACTCTATCTTTAAAATGCAAGGATCAGTCAGATACTGAAGGAATACTGAAGAATAACTGCTCCATCTCTTTTATGTGTGCTTGTAACTTTATAAGGACACTTGTTTCTTGTTGTTGCTATGCTCCATCAAGTCATCTCTGAAGTATGGTCACCCTATGAATGTAAAAATGTCCTGTACTCACAGACCTGTTCATCGCTTGTACATTCAATGCTGTAGCTTTCTTTATGAAGTCAATCCATCTCATATTTGGTTTTCCTTTTCTTCTTCTGCCTTAGACTTTAACTAGCATAATTGTCTTCTCCTAGCATGAGTCTTGCCTTCTCATGATATATGGAAAGTTCTGGCTTGATTTGATGAAGGACCCACTTGTTTGTCTTTCTGTCAGCCCAGGGTATTCAGCAATATTTTCCTTCGGCATTCTATGTAAAATATATCAATCTTCTACCTGTCAGCTTTCTTCACTGATCAGCTTTTGCACCATACATATTGAACAGGAATACAGTGGCATGGAAGACCTTGGCCTTGGCCACCAGTGGAAACATCCTTACATGTGATATTTTCTAGTTCCTTCATTGCTGCACTTCCCAGTTTCAGTCTTCTTCTAATTTCTTGGCTGCAGTCTCTGAATAGATGATTGAGCAAAGGTATAAAAATCTTTCACAATTTGAATTTCTTCCTTGTTGACAGTAAAGTGCTATAATTCTGTACTCATGATTTTTGCTTTCTTAATATTCAGCTGCAGTCCTACTTTTGCACTTTTTTCTTTCACTTTCATTAAGAATCATTTCAATTCATTGCTACTTTCCGCCAGTAAAATGGCATCGGCATATCTTAAATTACTGATGTGCCTTTCACCAATTTTTACTCCTCTTTCTTCTAATCTTTATCCAGTTTTCCTTGTGATATGTTCTGCATACACAATGAACAGAGAGAGCTAAAATCCATCCTCATCTGATGCCTTGGCTTATAGAAAGCCATTCTGCTTCTCCATAATCTGTCGTAGCACTAGTTTTTGTTTACAGTACAATCGAGTGCTGAGGTACACCCACTGCTGTCAGGTTCATCCATGATGAACGATCCATACAATCATTCTCATGATCCATACAGTCAAGCGTTTTGGTGTAATGTATAAAGCATAGGCTAAGCATCTTCTTTTGTAATTCTTTGTTACCTTAAAAGTAGAATAATTGGATCTCATGCTCGTGTTTGTATACAGCCCAGGCATAACCTGATACAGTTCTTAAAACTTTCCATTGGTAGATACATAATTATTTGAAGTTTGTGTAGGCAGTACAATGGAACCAAAAGCCCTTATGCCATCTTGTGCTGTTTTCATGGTAACAGTGAATGAATTAGGAATAGAGGAAACAACCTGTTCAGACACGTCTGTGCAGATACTTTATCAGCAGCAGCTAAGCGCATGTCTGCAACTGGATCCTGTCCAGCATTTGTCATCTCCTGCTATCCTTCCTTTCCCTATCTGCATTAGAAAACTTTCAGTTGCTAAAGATTTCACATCACAAGAAATTCTTCCTCTTCAAATACTGCAGACTAGCCAGGCATGGTTTAGGCTTGTCAACCTCATTGACAAAGCTTTCCATTTCAGAAATGACTGTTTCCTGCTGACCCTGGGCCTCTGAAAACTGTTTCAGATTCTCCTAGCATCCTTATGGGAAAAACAGCTAACACTGGTGGCCCTTGACATCTGCCAGTCAGAGACTCTCAGTTTAACACACCTCTCAGGGTTGTTGTTGTGAGGATAAAATGGAGAAGAGGAGAACCTTGCAAGCTGCCATGGGTTCCTTGTAAAAGGAAGAAAGGTGGGGAATAAATATAATGCAATACTGATAACAGTAATACATGATTCCCACCTTCCAGCCTGTTCCCAGATTGTTTCCTGGGCGCTCCTGGTATCTTTAATTTCATCTTCTCTTGCATTACTCTGAAGCCCCAGAGTATTCTCTAAAACCAGACGGAATATCTTATCTCTGATTCAGGACACAATCCTATGGCTGGTAGACTTTGTCTGAAGGAGTACAGATACTCTGAAGGGCAAGTCAGAAATCCACCCCCCCCCCCCCCAATCTCTTCACAGCTGGCATGGAAAGAACCATGTTGGCTGGTCTCCATTGTTAGAATACTTCCATGTATTATCTTGTTCATAGCATGGGTGCCTTTCAGAAAATTCTGAAATTTGGATATCCTAGAAATAAATAAATGATAAAGAAAGAAATACCTCCATTCTTGGTAGAGTGCACAAGAAGTAGAGAAGAAAGAAAAAAAAGGATAGGTAAAGCAAAGAGTCCATGTATGGGCTAATGATAGCTCTGAATGAGATTCATTTGTAGTAACACAGCTGGACCATGAGCAATGCTGAATATAAACTAGGACCAGGAGGGTATGATTGCATAGCGTGCTAAATCACCTGTGGTCCAGATATGCAAGGTTGTAGTCTGTGGCTTCCACTTTCTACAGAAAATGACTTCTATCATTTTTTAAACTTTAATCTCAATTATGTCATTTAATCATATGCATTAATTGATGATAAATGTCCCAAGCCTTTATTTTTCCTGCCAGTACTGTCCTTATTGACAGATCATGCTGATATTAGAACCCCCATGTGAATTCCCAGATGGCAACCCAGAATGCCAGGTTTAAAGAACTATTTATAAGGCGTATGAGGTTTTGGGGCTCCATATTGGAGCAGCAGCACAGCTAGTGTTAGGTCAGGAAAATCAAATCTCACTGAGCCATAAAGCTCACTGAATAGGTCAGCCCACTAAACAACTGTAAGAATCTTGAGCTTGATTCATAAATCATTAGAAGTATAAACTGGAATTTAATGCCCACAGGAGGGATATAACTAAGAGACACTCTGTGAACTGGTCAAACACTCCAAGAGGGGCCGCACTTGTAGACTCATAGACTCTGTCAGAAGTAGATTCAAATAACCTGAGAAAGAGTAGCCATCATGATAAGCCAGGAATATGTCAAATTTGAGGAATAGCTGTAATTCAATCACAATTCCATTGCTGGTGCTTAACTTGCTAAAGCCATATAAGCCATCCTTTCTCTCTAGTAACTCCATAATTTCTGTCCTATACTGGACAACCTCATACAATGAACCATCATGCTGCTATTGTGTAGCAGGACTGGGACTTCTGGTAAGTAGAGCACAGCTGGATATATTTGACCCAATTACTGTTTGTAAGATGCCTCTGTGGTTCTAATCATACCATGACTATTTGTACCATGGCAGTTACTGTGCTTTCATATGTCTGGGCATTAAAAGTGGCAAGAAATCTGAGAAATTAGGGTTCAAGTTTGTATCAGAGAGGAGTGCTATTTTAGTGTTTGCCTTGAATTACCACAAGGATTTAAAAATATTTTTCTCAGTTTAGCAGCAAAGAAATTTGAATAAACCTAGATGCATTGGAGACAGATGTCTTCAAAAGGTTTGTTCATAGATATGAATCCTAGGTCAGTATGGGAAATCACTTTTGACTTGCTACTTGCATTTAACCTTCTTTGTTCCCATAAATAATTCTTACAGGAATTGGTTGATTACTGTGGATATCTAATACAGGATATCTGTAATCACCCCATGTCTGGCATACCAGCATTAAGAACTCTGGCATTTCAGTATAAATAGATTTACCTACAAATGCTTAAAAAACTCATGGACTCACCAACTGGTACTTCTAATATGAAGTCTGGTGTTTTGTCATAACCTTTTGCACGTAACTGATCTTCAGCTGCATAGAGAAAGGATGTTGTAAACAATAGTATTATTCTATTAACCAGATAGCAGAATAATTAATTTTCTTTTGAACAGAGGTACAAGAATTACTAATGCATTCATACATATCCTTCTTATGCATGCAATACTGTGTCAGATTAAATGAACCTTCTTAGCAAACCTGAAACATGAATATAAAAATGCTTCTTTGTCATCTCTGCATTTTTATGTCTTCATTATAAACATCATTAATTCAACCTGTCATACAGTACTTTGTTACTGAAAAATATTCAAAATAAAGAAATATTTTAGCTGATTGAATATCTCTCAAAGTAAGTTTAAGAAATAGCTAGTATTATCACACTGAAGACATGCTTGTACTTTTGCCTCAATTTATATTTGAGGCAGAAGTGAATATAAAATTTATTCACTGAAAAGTTATAGCTAAAGAAATTATCACAGGCTCTTTGGGTGACATGAAGCTGATGTTTCTGCCTCTTCCTTCCCCCAGTATGGCCCTACATGTTATAAAGACATCAGGGACCCATCTGAATGAGGCAGTCTATGGTACAAGGGACTACAGGGCAGTTCTTCCAAACTGGATAAAGATACCTGCACATGTCTCTGGCTAATACTAGGAGCTGCCCTCTTCCCTTCAGTCCCTCCCATTTTTACTAAATGCTAACTAATGTCACATTAACTTTGATGGGAAGAAATGTGATGGTCAATTCTTGACCTAATATAGAATAGTAATAATCAGGGACACTTAACAGTATGCTAAAACTGTTTCCATGGTGTGTTAATTTATAACATGTATGTCCTTTAAATTTAATGTGGAATAACATCATAATGATGATGTTAATTTGCAGTCTGGTGTTATTCAGTTTAGACATCTACCATCTCAAAACACTTCCTGGTCAGGTTTAGACTTTTGACCCTGTTCTTCCTCTCCAAAGGTGGTGGACCTGTTAAAATGGTCTGCCCTGGAGTCTAATGGATCCAGAAGTTTTCCAGAAGGCTCTGGGGGATTATCTGGCTGATGTGGTTGGCACTCCTGTCAAAGACCAAGATGCTTTGTGGAATAGAGAGGTGGCTTGAACAGTTGACATAATTGCACCTAAGCACCCTCTTTCTCTCTGCTGAGCTCAGCCAGCTCCATGGTACACACTACAACGTAGGGCAATGGAGCAAGAAAGAAGATGGTTAGAGTGCAGGTGAAGACAATCTCATTACAAATCAAACCAAACACAGTTTGGAGCTAATTATTGAGCCTATTTGATAGCAATGAAGAGAGCAAAATGACAATTGCATCCTCCATTGCATCTTCACAGTGCTGTTCTACAGAGCTTTTCCGAATGGTTAGAGTGCTGGCCCATCAGTAGAGATCACCAAACCCTTGGTAGCTTGTTGTGATGAATTTGCCCAACACTTCAAAGATAAAATCACTCAGAACATTGTGAACTGGACTCCTCAGTTGTGTTAGATCTTTTCAGGGATTCATCCAGCATACCATTCTTTGGTCCTGTTTTCTTGGATGAATTTCAGTTATTGCAGTCCAATGATGTGGACAAGGTGCTTGGTGCTGTTTGTCCCACTACCTGCCCACTTCCCCTTGCCCCTCATGGTAAATTTGAAAGGCTAAGGAGGGATCCAGGAGGCTGTCAATGCTTCATTACGAAAGGGAACTGTCCTAGCATCTTGAAGAAGGCTGTGATAAGATCATTCTTTAAAAAAGCTGAACCTGGTCTCAGGGGTTGTTACCAACAATTGACCAATGGTGAAACTCCCCTTTTGGAGCATGGTTTTAGAGTAGGTAGCAGCCAAGCAGCTCCAGAACTTTTGGAGGAAACAGATTATATGGATCCATTTCAGTTGGGTTTCAGCCTGAGGGATGGAGACTGTCTTGGTTGGCCTCTGGAATGACCTTTACTGGGACAGTGAAAGAGGAATTATGACCCTTTTGATTCTCCTGAACATTTCAGCAGCTTTCAACACTATTGACAATGTGTCCTTCTGGACAGGTTGGCTGGGTATGGGGTTGGAGGCACTGCTCTACAGTGGTTCCTCTCCTACCTGGCTGACTGGATCCAGAAGGTGCTGAGGCATGGTTGGTCATTGCCATGGCTGTTATGCCATGGGGTACTGCAGGGCTCTATACGATCCCTCATGCTTTTCAATATCTACACGAAACTGCTGAGAGAGATCATCCAATGGTTTGAGCTGAGTTCTCAGCAATATGCTAATGATACTCAGCTCTACCTCTCCTTTACATCAAATCCAGGTGAGCTGGTGTTCATCCTGAACCAGTGCCTGGGCTCCATAATGGACTGGAAAAGGGACTACAAGCTGAAGCTCAGTCCAGGTGGGCTGCAGGCTGGATGAGTTGATGGGGTCATAGTCCCTCAAATAATAGAGTTCACAGCTTGGGAGTGCTCCTGGATCCAAAACTTCCACTTGAGTCCCAAGTGCACCTTCCTTCAGCTGAGGCCAATTTATCAACTATGGCCATATCTTGACAGACAAAGCTTAGTCACACTCATGCACACCCTAGTAACATCCAGTTGGATTATTGCAATGAGCTCTATGTGGAACTGCCTTTGAAGACAGTCTGGACACTTTAACTGGTTCAAAATAGGATCACATGACTTTTAACAAGAACTAGTTTGCAGGCCAATATTACTCCAGTTATGTATCATCTACACTACCTATCAGTGGAAGTCTGGGACCAATACAAAGTGCTTGTTCTTACATATAAAGCCCTAAATGGCTTGGGCCCTGGATACCTGAAAAACCACCTTTTCCCACATGTTCCTACATGTTCATTGAGATCAAGTCAGGAGGTCCTTTTCAAGGAGCCATCTTCCAGTGAGGTGAGGGGGATGGCAGCCAGAAGAAAGGTCTTCTCAGTGCTTGTGCCTCTTCTCTGGAGTAGTCTTCCCAGAGAGGTACACCTGGTGCCATCATTGTTATCATTTTGGCACCAGGCAAAGACATATCCTTTCTCTGGCTATTTTAATAGTTGGTTTTAGTGGTAATCTTTATTTTAACCTGACCCTAATCTTGGCTTGTAGTTTTATCTTATTTTAAATTGTTTATTTAAAAAGTTTTTATGTAATGATTTTTTTTATGAATGTTACTGTTAATGTTCTATTTTTGCAGATATTAAAATGTTAAGTTGTTTTAATTGGTTCCAAGTCTCTCAGAGAGTTCAAATGTGAGCTAATGTGGCAGCATATAAATTGAAATGATGGATGGATGGATGGAGTGAGTAATGTGTTTCTACTGGACAATTTACCAAAGATACTATTTCCTTTTTTATGTATAGGCCAGCCCTATTATTAGGTAGAGTGGGACATTTGCTTCAGACAGTTGTGAAAGAGCAGCTATTTAATTCATTATTGTTGCATTTTTTCCCTCTGAAGTAGAAGTACTTATAGGACTTTCTGTTTTTGATTCCAAGATAACTTGGCACAACTTGGATATTATACACATTGATATGGAGAGGTTCACCATTTCTTGCTACATAAAAATGTAAGAGCTATGCTGCATTAGACCAAGGGTCTGTCTAGTCCAGAGTGGCCATCATTATATTTTGTGGAAGTGAATTTCATAATTTAAATGTACACTGAAGAATAATGAAGAAATACTTTTTATCTGGCCTGAATCTTCCACCAATCAGCTTCAAGGAATGACTACAGATTTTAGTAGTATAAGGGAGAGAGAAATTTGTCTCCCCATTCATTCTCTTCACACCTGCCCAGATAGCAAAACATCTTGGTCTGATTCTGCTATGTGCCATTGCAAGTTTGAACTACACTGTACAAGACAACATGCAAAATAAAGAGTTATCTTTGCAAACAGAATAGCAATAATAGTATTAATAATTGTACTGTACAATGCCATGGATTAATAAAAATGTATTTATGTACAGGAAAGGCTGACCATATTGCTAAACCATTTACATAATGTGTTATGAAACCAATGCCTATGTCTTATTGTTTAACACATTCTATTGAAGGTTTGCATTTCTACTAACTAATCTCAATGGAACTGTCAAGAATGTTTCAAGAATATTGTTAAAATATAGTGTCTCAAGTTGTTCACAAATCACAGAAAGAATATGTTGTAGAATTCAGAGACTGATACTGATTCCTTAACATCATATTACTATTTGACTGTCTTTGCTCTTCAGAAAAATTCCCTTTTTATTCCGGTAGTGCTTTTAATCCTGCTGCTACTAAAAGCATAGATCAAGGTAGGCCATAGGATCAATAATTAAATAATCAAAAGGGCTTTTTAAATAATGACTTTTCCACTAGGGGCACGTTTGTTATGATTTTTTCTGGATTTAAATATTTTGCGATGTTCTATTTGAAGCACACTTTCTCATATTGAGATGTCACCCTTCAGTACAAACTGAGAAATACATCATGCTAGGAATGTACCCCCAATTCCCCACTACAAATGCTCCTTGAAATAATAATAACCACTCAATGCAAGCATTAACAATAATATTAAAAGTCATGCTTCTACTGTTCTCAGGTAGATTAGCACTTAGCGTCATTCTGATTAAATAGATAATGCAGGAAGCTTTAATACAATTGTACAAAAATATAAGGATATAAACATACTTCTAAAGAAACCAGTGAATCCCTCCTGTAGATACATTATTTTTAATACATAAAGCATTATGCAGTTAATATTTCTTATGCTTCCGTCTAAGTCTCCTAAGACCTAGATTATGGCTAATATCTCATGACACCAAAAGTAATACAGTAGCTGATATTAAAGCATTTTTTCCAGCTACTTATTCTATAAAATATTAATTGCAAGCTCGTGCACGTGCAGTATAGGGTATTAGGTAACTGAGTTCCTGCTCAGGTCTAAATCAATAAAAGATAACATGTACCGCATCAATCATTTCTTAGCCTCCCTTTACTACTTAATACAGGGTATCTGTGGAGACCTCTTTTGCAAACAGCTAAGATTTCCAATGTTCAGATACAAGATTATATTATGAACTCTTACCTAAAAAAGATATGTTTTTCTCCAAAAGCATTTCTTTCAGTAAGACTTCATGCTCATGTCCAATTGCACTGATTTTTTTCATTAAGGAAATAAGTAAGTTATATCCTAGAAACAAAACTCACTTTTAGACCTGTACAACACTCTGAATACAGTGCTCTAGAACTGAAAACTTGGTAGCCCTAATAGTGCTCTCTTTTCTTTTCATCTTCCAAAAACTATAAAGAGCAGAGACCAGTGAAACCAAGACCTATCAAGCCATGGTGCTAGACACATCCATCTTCTCATGTACTTTAGGCCACAATAGCATGAGCGACAAAAAAGCTCTAGATGGGATAATTACAGAGCTTCTCTATAATCCTGTGGGGCACTGAAAGATCACCTAAACCTGTGTGACATAATGGTGACAGTGTCAGTCTGTCTGGAATGAACCAGATTCACATTTCCACTAAGCTACACAATTAACAGGGTGGGCTTGGGCCAGTCATGATCCATCAGCTGAATTTATTGCCCAGATTTGTGAGGATAAATGGGGTGTGGGTGGGGGGAATGCTTCCTGCCTTGAGCTCCTGGAAGAAAACACAGAGAATTAATGAAATAAGTAAATTGATAAATAAACATCCTTCTTTATTTCCCCAGAAATTCAATAAAGCTAATGAAAGGAAGAATGTCATCTATTTGAATTCCTTAGCTATCTCTATGCATATAGGCATCAGGACTAGTCGCCGTTAATACCTTATTTTCCATGAATTCGTCTAATCCCCCTTTATAGCCACCCAAGGTAGTAGTCATCATTACATCTAGTAGAACTATAATCCATGTTTAGATATGCATTCCCATGCCACGTTCTCCACACCACACATAATTTTTCCACCTTTATCAAGTCTCTTCTCTTTTTTCTAAGCCAAACAATCCCAAAAATCATACGCTGTTGAATACAAGATGTTGTAACCTTTCCTCATAGGCAAGTTCTTCCAATTCCTCAATCAATTTAATACCCTCTTTCTGCATTCTTTCCAACTCCAAATGCCCCTTTTAGGTGCAGCTACCAGAACTGTACAGAGTATTCTAGGTGTGGTTGCACATAGATTTGTATAAGAGAAGAATTATCTTGGCAGTTTCTATTTTCCTATTTTCCAGAAAGCAAAGAAAAGTTATGTGCCCAAGAACCCAGTACAGGGCAGAGCTAGACTCTGAGCACTGATATTATTTGGCTGTTGGGTGGTAAAGAAATGTAATAAAATAAATACACAAAATTTACCTGAATAGTATGTCTAAATAGAGACCACTAGACAACTCTTTATGGCTTTTCCTACATACCTATTACTACATGTTGCTGCATTGATTTTGAGGGTTTTATCAATGCTTAATCCTTATTTATTTCTATACCACTCTCCTATTTCCCATTTTATTCTCACAATCCTATAAAATAGGCCAGGCTGAGGGTCAGTGACTGGCCCGAAGTCACCCAGTGAGCTTCATGTCTCAGTGGATCTCATGAGCCCTTTTCCAGGATGCTGCACCACACTGGCTCTCTGGTATATTACTCTCCAGTACACTACAATTAGATATACCTATTTTAGTGTATACTTCAACATATTTATGTATCAAAATAAGCTGATTTAGATATATATTTTTAGTATATTAGCACTATATAGAGGTCCTTAATAAAAGAATAAAATATTTGTAGCTCTATCTGTTGTCAGTTAATGCTAGAGATAGGATCAAGGCACTGGTCTCTTGGTTTTATGACACAGAGTACAAACCTCTATGATATGCACAATGTATTTTTTATTACATAAATATGTAATATTTAGCAAATGTTAATGGAAAAAAGGAAAGGTGAAAGTATGCTTCTGTTTTTTTCTATAATTTCATTAGAAATCTTTTCATTATTAAAATTATCATAGCATTTATTCCTCTGTTGCCATTATCCTTTGACAAAGCACTTCCAAGATATAATAGAAAAAATAATTTATATTTAATAAGTATTTTCAAAAAAACTATCAACTTAACAATGTTCAATTTTGTATGTTTTTAAATAAATTTAACTATCAATGGTTCTTTTTCCTTCTCCTTTGCTCTAATTTCTAGCAGCAATTACAGCTGGAATACAAAACAAGTCATAAGAAATATTACAGTGCAATGAGAATCAAGTGCTACATCAAGCTCCATTGTAATGACAGGGCCAAACAAAGAAAATGAATGATGGCAAAAATATAAGACAAATTCTACAAACAAAATTTATAATGCACGATAAGCAGAAACACTTAGACTTAGTCTACAGTAATACCTGTTATTGATGTATGGCACTGACCATGGGGCAAAACTTGTAAATAACCTCACTAACCATTTTCTTTTCATGCAATCCAGCAGACTAGCTTCCCGTAAGCCTCTGAACTATTACTGAAAAATAGCCTCCTGGCATTTACAAAGAGGTTGACTTCATACTTTAGTCCATGCATATATAATTAGATAGTTGTATTTAAAATCAATATGCAGGCCTTAGAAGACATTATGCTTTTAAAACCCTAACTTTAAATTGATTTTAAGCTACTTTGTATGTCTTAAAATTAACAACTAATTTAGCAACATATATTCTCAAATGATGCTTTCCTACACAGATAATCTAATTTTACAACCACTACCTATGGTTGGTCATTAAAGAAAATCCTATTCATTGTTTTTAACTGTGGCCATAATGTTACATGAAATCTAATCTGAAATCAAAGCTATGTACATATTTTATGGAAAATATGGTGTAACAAAATAGTGAAAGTAATAGCCACAAGTTATAAACTGGTACTATATTAGAGAATGCTCTGTGACCCCAATTAGCTGACCAAGTTCCAATGTAATCCTCTGTGCACTATAGCTGGGAACTGTAGAACAGTCTTCAGTATCCTATGCCAATGAGGCAATTCATGTATGAGAGGGGGTATCTCTCTCTTAACTATGGCTTGGAATCTAAGGCACATTCACTCCAAAAGTTCCCCCACAAAGCTTAACAAAATGCTTTGTCGGGAAGTAGTTTGCTGAAAAATATAGGAGGAGGCTGCTGTGGGAGAGAATTGCAGTTGAAAAAGACCTGACTCCAGACTCCCACATGAATCTGTGCTTAATCTGTGGCTGCATCAGTAGAGGCCATTCTTGGTGCCACTGAACGGAATCTTTACTTATGCACATGTGTTGCCAAGCAAGCTAGGGAGAGTGATGGGTTGGAAGATTACGGAGTCCAGACATCTAGGCTGTGTTACATTCAGTTTTCCAAGAGCACCCTGGGAAAATAACTACTTTGCCATACAACTGAACACCTCTGAAAGAGCTCTCAGTAATGCTATTACTTTTTTTCTCCCTTGTTTGGCAGTTTCAGGCTTCCGGGATCTTTATGTAAACCAGAGTTTCAAGATTTATAACAAGAGCTGGGGCAAAATAGTGGGGATTCAGTGATATGCACATGTAGGTTGGGGAGAAAGTCCTTACCTAATGCATCTTAGGAATCATACATGGGAATGAACGACATATGCAAGTAAGGAGATGTCCCATCTGGGTGCTACCTGGCTGTAGTACTGGCAAGGGTGGAGGTGGGACTATGCTGTCCTGAAAACTGCCCAGCTGCCAGAGTGAAATGTCCCTGCCAACCAATGTTTAATTGTGTGGATATGCTCAATGGGGTGCAAGGTGGTATTGCGGGTTAAATCGCTGAGCTGCTGAACTTGCCAATCAGAAAGCCAGCAGTTTGAATCTGTGCGGCAGGGTGAGCTCCCGTTGCCTTGTCCCAGCTCCAACCTACCCAGCAGCTCAAAAGTGTTTAAAAGTGTGAGCAGATAAATGGGTACCTACCTTGGTGGGGTGTCAGTGACATGTATGGAAGTGTGAGCACCAGACCCATGTCAGACCTGCAGCGTCAAACCTGCAGCAGCAGCAGCAGCGGCGGCGGCAGCGCTGGAGGTGGAGAGAGACTGGAGGACACTGACACTCTTGCAGACCAGCGCTAGCTGCTTTGTGTGCAAAGCTGGCTCACCCCCGTGGTGCAACATGGATAGCGCACAGGCACGAACTGAAGAGCTAGCTGTCTTAGGCAACCAAACTACTCTGCCTTAGCACTGTAGACTTCCTGGCTAATTGTTCCAATGCCATACAAAATAAATAAATATGCCCAATGCATAATGGCAGGATTGAAATGGCTGAAATAAATAAATAAACAAACATTAAATAAGATAGATAGGATGAGCGTTGGCAGATAAATGTCCTTAAGTATTGTTCAACCATTCGTTTACTTAATGGCTGAATTGGATATGGCAGTCTTGCTTTATTCAGATTAACCTGTATTTCTAAAATGGTATGGGCAATGTTTTGGATTTGTATTTTGCTGTTGTAAATCACCTCAAGCTTTTTAGAAAAGTGGCATTGATCTTTTTTATTATACAAGTAAAACATGAGTGAAAATTTCACAAACGAATGGAAAGGAGATGAGAGGGGGTGGGACGGAATTAATTTTGTATTTATTCTCTCATTCTCATACATATAGAAACACAAAATACACACTATACAGTCAAAATCAGATAATTTTGCATACCTTGATTCTGTAAGATCTGCCCACCACAGTGTGTACATATAATCATGTCTAGAAAAAAGTCTTGATTTAAGAGTTCTGCTCTGGACCAATTAAATGGAAATATAAAAACAATTAAATCACTGAAACCCTCTGAAAAAGGTATTTTACATAAAATCATGAAAATGGGATGGTTTTCCTTTTCTGCATTATGTTGGTCTCACAAAATGAGTGGAAGGTTTAGCAAAAACACATCTTAATTTACCTAATAATGAGTTTTTAGTATCAGTTCTAGTTAATTTTTTAAACTTACATAAACTTTATGGCTTTCCAGGAATGTTCAGGGGACAAATGAGATAAAATTGGGGAATCTTGCCCTAGACCATGGGTCCTCAAACTACGGCCTGTGGGCTGCATCCGGCCCACCATGCCCATTTATCTGGCCCACCATAGCTCATGAGGCGCCAGCTTGCTTGCAAGGAGATCGTTTTGGACTCGTTGGGAGAAAATGATCACTGTGCGTGCACACACGCACCCTCCTGCCCATCGCTGGCACCTTTCAACTGGCCCCCTAGTCAAAAAGTTTGAGGACCCCTGCCCTAGACAGATGAGATATATTCTGCTGTATGGATCTGAATTTGAATAATATTACAAATTTATATTCATTGCAAAAATATTCATCAAGAACTTCTGCAGGATGCTAGATCTGATGGAGTGACCTTCTTCTATGATAAACTAGTATCCATTATCACAAACTACCTTGAACTGTATCATCCCTTTGGATGGATGCAGGAGGATGGTACTGGCAAGTCAAATATTGTCACTTATAAATTTTAAATTATAAATTCAAATACATATTGTTCAATGAAAAATATTAAGCAGCTCAGAATTCTTATATAACAGAATTCTTAGTAAATTATGATGGCTAATTATTTGATGCAAGATTCCTCTTGTTCCCCAAATCTGGAGAAATCACAAGGCCTGTAGTGCAATGGATGACCAACCTCCTAGCCCCAAAAATCCATCTTCATGAACATGCTGTTTCCCCTGTCTGTTACTAAGATCACTGGATCACATTCTCCTGGTGGTTCCACACAGCCCTACAGCCTGACTGGAATTCACCAAGGGAACAGTCTTCAATGTGGTAGCTCCATTTTTATGGAATTCCCTGCCTCTAGAACTTAGGCAGGCACCAACACTGTGCAGTTCTCAGCACCTGTTTAAGATAATCGTATTCCGAAAATACTTCTTTTGCAGACCAATCATCTTAATGTAATTTTTTTTAGAAAGTTTCAATGTGTTATTTTTATTCTTTTGCTTGTTTTAAGCTTTTAGGGCTTGCCATTTCAGAATCTGTTTGGATGCGGAACAGTACAGAAATAAATAAAATCAGTAAGACTGCATGTTTCACGTGACCAACAGGAAAAGGATTTCATCTAAGCACAGGAAATGTATATCTACTGAACTGACAACTTTCATATGGCATATCTGTTGTTATTTAAACAATGAAAGAGATAGGGTCTGCAGTAACCCTCTTGTGGTTGATTGAATGTAAAATAGAGGAGTATGATATGTGTTTTGTGATGTAGAACTTTATGTCAGGTTAAAACTAGAAACATCTCTTCCACAGAGTCTAAGCTCATCACTGTGCACCTAAAATTTTATGGGAAAGGATACTGTTTGATGCAGTCCACCAGTGGTCCATAACAATAGTCATTCACAGTACACTGAAGACAAATAAGAGAAGTAGGACAGTGAAAAGCAACCAAAGAATTATTTTAGTTAAACAGAATCCTGAAAGCAATCTAGAAAACAAAAACTGCACACTTTCTATTCTGTATAAAAAGTACCCATTAGGAATTAAATGTTTCCTTTACAAATAAAGCATAATTATTCTCCATGATATGGTATGATGACAGTAATTAAATGAGGTTTAAAATCACTGTCGTGCTAGGCCCGTAATAGCATTTCCACCAGTAAAGGATGTCTTCATGTGTACCTGATAGACCTGATTGGCTAGAACTCCATCTGGAATCTGGGAAGGGTCCCTCAGCATACTGTTTATACGAGTTTTGGTAGCTGTGGAAGAAGAAGAAATTATAAGTGTTGTTATAAACATGTCACTAACCAGCTGTCACAGAAAAAAAGGAGAAATGGCTTTGAGAATGAGGAAAGATATTTCTTTGCATATCAATATTTTTTCAGTTACACAGCTGAAATCAGGAATATGCAAGTGAAATATTCTTCATGTTTATGATCTTATTTTACATTTTTTTTAAAAAAAGTTTGTGATTAGGACCCATTGGAGGATTAGGATGAATCATTAGTAAAAGTAGTTTAATGGAGAAAAATGGATTGTGGTGGTGGTGGTGGGAGAAATACTCTCCCATACACCAGAGGGAAATTAAGACTGCTTTCTGAAACTTCATTCTTTAAAGAGCAATTTTGAAGAGAACAGAAACTCAAGCTATTTCAGTAATTTTTCCATAATTCCCTAAATTTCATGAGGCAAAACTTTGGTTCCAATTTGGCTTATCTCTCTGAGAACAAGTCAGAAATTCTGGTTGGCATGTTATGCTAAATACCTGGGGACATTGTCCAGCCACTCCTGCTTTCCACAAGAGCAATCAGGTTGGATGGTGAACCAGCATGCCTGTTCCTTCCTATTTCACTCATGCATTGTGACTTGCTAATCAGACCGCAATGTCTAAAACAGATTAGCGTCTGAAAGCAAACAAGTTTTCAATGTATTCCAGTTCCAAATCTGTTGTATTAATTCATTTTTATTTACAGTATTTCTAAACTGCTCTTTATTGACAGGATTCCAGGGTGGTATACAATAGCCATAAAATTATTTAAACAAATATACAATCAACAATTTAAAAGGTTATCACAGGTTGGCTCAAATACCACAAAGCAAGGAAACTGGAAGTTAAAGCTGATGGCCCATGATCAGTAAGGATGATGTGCAATGTCACAACTTGCATAAGTTTAAAAATGTTGCATAAAGTTATAAAATGAAACCCTTTTATTAAAATGTTCAGCTCAATGCTTTACCAGAGGAAAATATGCAATAGCTTATTTTCCAGTATAGTTGAAAAATCATGATTAAAAATGATTGACCATAAATTATGACCAATATCCATACATTTTTGGTATTTACAAAGTTAAACTTGGAAATATTTCATGATTTTGCATATACCATTCATGATTGAAGATATTAAAAGTATATGTTGGATAATAACAGGCTTAATGTTTCAAATGTATTATTTATAAATAAAGAGGACAGTCTGCTGGTGCAATTCATTTATTTCCCTAATATTTTGCATTGACGACATTCTGGGAATAGGCCAGTACTTCCTAAATGTCATAAAGCGGCACCTAGAGGCTTAGAGGGACTGGCATGGGCAGGCAGCTGCTTGAGCCCTACAAGTGCAGAAGGACCCAGACTGAACAACCTCGACTATGGTAGCAACTCCTCCTCCAGTTCTCCTCCTTAGCCAGCTTCCCCAAGTCAGGAGGGAAATTGATTACAGTATAGGCACATCAAACATTTTAGTTTAAGGAATTAATGTTACTTGATTGCCTAACTTTAAGTGAATGCATGAAGAGTATGCATGCATGCACACACACACAGAGTGGAGGGAAAAAGAAGTTTTAAAATGTGTCGAGGGAGATATAGCTGTATTTAGCGACAGTGCACAAAATCATAGAAACTTTTTTTCCTCTCTTGTACTGCATAGTTTTTTTTTTAAATACAATAATACAGTAAATTACAATAATATTCATATTTTAAACTGTAGTACTTATTAAAATACTTCTAATAGGATGTTAACATGAATATATGGACATATAGCTACTTGCAAGAGCTCAGTTGTAGCTTGAGTGTTTCAACTATTTTCTTGAAGGTATGGTATGGTTGTGGAAGGCCATAGCCAGCAAATACTGGATGTTCGGCAGCCATCCGTTAAACGTCAAGCTACTTTTCGCATGCTAAGCCTAGACCATGTAATTTTTTTCTATTTTCAAAGAAATATTGCAAATGCTTAAAATATCCTTATTGGCACTGTTTTAATTAGGACACTAAATAATAATTAAACAGAAGCCAGACTGGCAAATTTGTCCAGGAATTCATATTTCCGCAGCCTGTTCTTGAACTCTATGTTTTTACATTTAATCCACAATATGTCCTTGTAAAAATAGCCAAAGCAAATCAGCACAATAATACTCTCTATTCCCCATCTACCACCATTATTGTAGAGATCAAACGTTGGACAATTAAAAGTCTTTTAATGGGTTGTACTAAACATTAGGCTAGTAAAAAAATGGTACAAGAAGTGGCATTATCCACAGTTGCACAAGCATAGCATAATAACAAAAACAACCAGCACAAACAACATCTTGCTTAATGACAACCATGACTAATAACGTTGTCTACATTTTTTGCTGTCTTAGCATGTTGCAAAAATAACATTATAAAAAGGGTAATCTTAATTGAACTGGGAGACTGTGATAGGGCACAAGTTTTGTTTGTCTGAGAGAGGTGGAGAGATAGTATGGTAGGCTCGTGGGCCAAGCTTGTTACCATTCATTTGTTCATTCGTTCACTTCATTCATCATATTTCTTTGCTAACATTCAAGGTAATACACTTCCTAAGGTGGCTTACAATATAAAAATGTAAAATTGAATATCAAAGTATTTTAAAAAAATTGTTTCCCAACTTTCTGTCAAGAGAAATAGCAATCATGACAGTGCCGTAAATCACCTTAAATTTAAGCAATTTTAAAATTTCCAGTTTCTAATACCAGCAAACATTTTAAATTAAAACACAGACAGAACAAGCATGTTTTTAAAGTCCTCCTCCGGTAGCCACAGATGAGACAGCTGCGTTTCTCTCAAGAGGGAATTCCATAGGTTAGAGGCTGCTCCACAACAGCCTGCTGGAGGAGTTTTCCTGGGACTGTCAGGGAGGTCTGGCTGGCAGGGCATGCTCCCTGCATCTGGGGCCCCAGTAGCCATGTTGCTGCCCTCTAGGTACCAGGTCACTGGAGAGAGGCAGCTCCAGCAGCATGTGCAAATCTGGCACATGGGGACCAAGTACTGGACACATGTGCAGTTTAGGAAATGGGAGGGGTGTAGGTAGTAGTGGGAGTGGCTGCTTCTGCATGGATTTGAAGTGTGGCAACAGCAGCAGGTGCTACTCTGTTTCCCTAAGACTAATCCTAATCCTAAACCAAAGCCACCCTCTCTACTAAGCTGGCTCTGTGCAGCAGTAGGAAGAAAACAATGGCTTGCTGGGACTGATCCCCAGCTGTGGGGGCTGACAGAATACATTACACCATTTGGAGTGAAGATGGAGGCATGTGGAAAATACTCATGCATAATTACTGTGTAGATGTAGCCTTAAATAGGGCTGCAGGTGATATAACAACTGGATGGATAATAGTGCCACCCACACCTCCAAGCAGTTACATGAACATCATGGGACACAAAACGGAACTTTGTGGAACCCAATAAGCCTAAAATCTTTGGGCAGGGCAGTCCTACCCCCACCATCTTTTGAGAAAGATTGCTCAGGCAGGATTGGAGCCACTAGAAAGCTGGGCCCCATAAACCTAACTCAGTCAAAGTGTACTATGATTGATAATACCAAAAGGCACTGGTATTACTTTCTTTCCCCAAACATTCAGAGGTGGATGTAGAATGGACATCATCAGGTCTTATGTGAACAAGCTTCTTGGAGGACTGAGGCTATCTTAGATTCTTGGCCATCTCAGCCATTAACATTTTGCACAAATGCTGGAATTTCAGAAATAATAAATGAGGGAGGGTATGATACCGAATCCTCTTCTGGACGTGGTAGTTAGTTCACTTTTGGGGGAAAAAAAAAAAAAAGCAAATGTAGACACCTGTCATGTGCGCATTCCCTGCCAAACCCCAGGCTCACTCATGGGAGACTCCTCATGCTGGTTATACTGATGATTCAGATTCTGATTTTGAGGATGACACCGTTTTTCAAATGGTGCAGTCTCCAGCTGTGGGTTGAGGTGTTGGGACCTAACAGGATGTAGCAGTGGAAGAGATCAGTCCAAGGAAAGGTGGGGAGGCAGATCAACCAGACACTTGGAAGACTGGGGGCCTGAGGGAGGGGACGTTGACATGGGAAGTTTCTCCAATGGAGAACTCCCATCCCTTAGGAGATGGACCTAGGGGCTCATCACTATCCTGGGAGGGAAGCCCAATTAGGGGCACAACCGGAGGAGCAGAGGCGTGCATGTTTTCATGATGTGTCAGGGGTATGACACAAGGAATCATAAGGAGAGCTATACGAAATGAACATGGGTATGCTCAGAGACTCATATGTATCAATAAGGATCATTAAGCAAAGAAATGCTAGTGAGACTGATACTGCTCAGAGGGAGAAACATGGATTGCAACAACACCTCAGTCTATTTGAACTATTACTTGTTTCTAACTTTCCATTTTTGAGCAAGGTTCTGGAGTAAGTTATGCCTTCTCAAATCCAAGTAATCCAGGAAGATATTACTTTGATCCATTCTAGTCCATGTTTTGGGATAGAAGTAACCTCAGTTGCCCTGGAGAATAGCTTACACCAATGAATAGACAGGGGAAGAATAGCAGTTGTGGTCAGCAAAGTATATGTTAACATTCATTCCTGGAATGCTACCCAAAATGGCTTCCCTGTGGAGAGTTTTCCCTGAACTTCGCTTTCATAACACAATCACTGCATGGATAGTCACATTAACATGGAGATTCTCTGGGCTCACCCTGTGTGTTCATAACAGTCACAATCGGAGACATGAAGAATTGCCACATGAGAATAAACTTTTCTTAACATTATAGTGGAAATGGGAAGAACTTGTAAACTTGTTAACTTCCCAGAGAGCTTTGGTGGTAGAGTAGTATAGAAAAAAATTAAAAAATAACTTGAGATGGGATTGCAGTACTGAAAATGTGCACCCCAGGTATATGACTTCTGCATTACTTTATTGAATATTACTATTATTTTATTTATATCCCACTTTTTTACTTTCAAGGAACTCAAGGAGGCTTACAT